TTGTGATGCTTTACTAAGAAGAATGTATGTAAAGTCTACAAATTTTTAAAAGGGTGGATAGTATTCCATAGTATACATATACTACAGCTTGTTAATCCATTTCTGGGTTGGTGGGCATTTAAGTTGTTTCCACATTTGGGAGATTGTAAACTGAGTTACAATAAACAGTCTAGTGCAAATGTCCTCATGGTAAAATGATTTTTTTTCTTCTAGGTAGATACCCAGTAATGGGATTGCAGGATCAAATGGGAGAGAAGGGAATACTTTTAAAGGAAGTATGGAAAGGGTACATGTGAATCTCTCTAAATGTAGAATATAAATGTCTTAACACAATGACTAAGAAAAAGAAATGAAGGCTATGTTAACCAGTTAGATGAAAGTATTTCAAATTGTATACAGAAACAGTACACTGTACCCCCTTATAGTATTAATGTACACTGCTATGATTTAATTAAAAAAAAAATAAGGGAAGTATGGAGAATCCCCATATATAATTTTTTATTATCACTTTGTCCAAAATCTTTTTTTAGATATTTCTGTTGGGAATGATTTGGGGCTCATTTATTTTTTGGAGATGTGTTCTCAATTTCCAAATGTGAGGATTTTCTACTTATCTTTTCTAAGAGTGACTTTTTGCTTAATGCCACTATAGTTAGAAAACATACTTTGAGTTTCAAAAATTACTTTTGGTTATGAAATGGTTATATCCCTTCTCATCTCTTGCAATGCTTTTCCTCTTGATGTCTGCACTTGCCAACACTGATTTCACTGTTATATCTTTCCAAGCCTCCCTTTCATATATTTTAATTCTGACTATGTTATAAACTTAACATTTCTTTTAGTGAGTCTGCTGTTAACAACATATCCTGACTATTATTGGCCAAAATCATGTTCATTTTGCCTTTGGGTTTAAAGAATATTTTTTCAAGAATGAGTTGTATCGCTTTCTTCACCATGTGAAACTATTGTTCTCTTGGTTTTTGTTTTTCGTAGTTTCTGTTGAAAGACAAAAAAGTTTTGTCTTTTTTCCACTCTGGCTGCTTTATGATTTTCACTTTTTTTCAATGGTGTAACTATGATGGGTTCAAGATTGGTTTTACTTGCATTTATTCTGCCTTGGCCCTGCTGAATTTTTTAAGTTTGGGGGGGTTATACCTTTCATTCATATTTGAAAATTTCTATCCCAATAATTCTTTAACTATTTACTCTCTTCATTTCTCTGTCCTCTCCTTGTGGGGCTCCAGTTACATGTGTGCTACATGTCCAGCCCCCATCTATGCATCTCCTTTCCCTGGTTCTTTTATTCTTCTCTATTTCTTTGCCTGGGTATCAGTTTGGTTTTTAAAAATAAACCTAGTCTTCATATTTTTCTGTTTCTTCTTTCGCTGCTTCTGGTTAGCTGTTAGCCATCCAAGTGAATTTTAAAGTTTCTAATATTTTGTTTTTCTATCATAGAATGTTCGTTTGATTCTTCTTTAGATTTTCTCTATTGATAGTTTTCATTTTTTAAAAGTTGATTTTATCTTTTTAGTATTCTGACTATGTTATTTACAGCATGTGTATACTAAAATCCAACATTTTGGTGGATTGTGGTTTTACTTCTACTTCTGTTATATTGATTAGCACTCTCTGGTAGAATAAAACATATATTTGTAGTCTTCAGTTCCTGATACAGAGGTCCTAAAACCTTTGTCATTTCCTGAGTGATGGAGGTTATAGCATTTTTTGTCATATCATTTTGTCAGTACAGTTGGCCCTCTGTATTTGCAGTTTTTGCATTCTAGGATTCAACCCACCACAGACTAAAATTATTTGAAAAATAAAAAATAATAATATGATAATAAAAATGCAAATTAAAAATTAATATAACAACTATTTATATAACATTTACATTGTTTTAGGTATAAATAATCTGAAGATGATTTAAAGTGTAGAGAAGATGTGTGTCAGTTATACGCAAATGTCTGCCATTTCTTATCAGGGACATGAGAAGCCTTGGATTCTGGTATCCTGGGGAGTTTCCTGGAACCAATATCCCCTCAGATATTGAGGGAAGACTGTGTATGCTTCCCGACACAAGAGCCTAGGACTCTTGCAATCTTAGGAGTGTAAGAGTGTCTTTTGTAGGGTAATGAGGTAACTGCAGGACCCCTAGACAGCTTTAGGTTGGAGTCTGGTCATTAGGAGATGAAGACAACATTAGAGGGTTGAGCCTTTCATCCCCACCCTGAACCTCCAGCCACGGTGGAGGGGCTCAAGATTGAGTCAATTGTCAATGGCCAATGATTTGATCAATCTTACCTAGTGAGACCTCCATAAAACCCGATAAACTGGGGTTCAGAGAGCTTTATAATTAGTGAACAAGTGCAGATTTGGGGAGAGTGGTGCCCAGAGAGGGTGTTGAGGCCGAGCCCCTCTGGACATACCTGGCCCTGCACATCTCTTCCGTTTCTTGGTTGCTTACTTTGTAGTGCACTGATAACAGTAGGAAAGTCTCTGCCCGTGTTCTGTTGTAGCAGATTAAGAGGTGAAAGTCTTAGGAACCCCTGACTTATGGTCTGTCAGTCTACAGGTGGCCCAGACTGTCAGTTTACATCTGAAGTGTGAGCAGTCTGTGGGACTAAGCCCTCCACATGTGAGGTCTACCCTGACTCCTCATGGTGTCAGATTGAATTGAATTTCTTGATCCCCACTTGGTGTCCAGAGAGTTAGAGAATTGGTTTGTGTGGAAAAACCCACATATTTGGTGTCAGAAGTATGGTGTTATAGAAATAGTTCATAGTTAAAAAAAAGAAGAAGAAGAAAGAAATAGTTCATAGTATGAACTACCTCTTACAATCCTGTGGTTTTGTTTCATCTTTTAAAAAGAATCAATTTAGTTGTCTCTTTAATATTCTCGTTATAATTTTTAAAGCACTCATATAGTCATGATTTCTGTTGCTGTTTTATTGATTAGCAGTAATCTGTTCCTGACTTGTGCCTGTTCTGTGGTGTTTTTTATTTAATGTCTGACATTGTGTATAAAATAGATGTAAAGCTTGTAGATGATAGTATGTGACAAACCAAGGTGAGTGCCTGAGGCAGCAAGTGTCACAATCCATGGAGATTTATTAGGCCAAGGATTGAGGATGAACCTGGGAAACCACAGACAAATCTGAGATCGTTTTTCTGAAGTGAGGGGAACTCAGTTTTTAAAGGGAATAGAGCACACAAAAAGGGAAAAAAGAGGAGAGGGTGGGCAGTGAGAGGAGAGTGGACAGTCTTGGGAGACCGTGCACATCCCCATTTTACATAAGATAAAACAAATGTTAGAAGAGGAAAAGGGCAGGAAGGAAGGATGGGTTATGTCACTGTGTCTCTGTGTCCCTGCCTCGGTGCATGGAAGGTTGTCTGCTCTCATCCCATCTCTGTTCTGCACCTGGGAAGACATTGTGCAATCAGCATTGTTAATGCAGAATCAAACAGGATATTGTTCCAGGAGCTAGACTTAGCCTGGGGATGCAAAGTTACCACTTACAAGTCCTTGCTTCCTGGACCCAGAGAGGAGTTTCCCTATGAAAGACCTGAGAGGCAGTCCTTGCAGACACCTGAGGACTTTACCCTCCTGTGGGATCAGGCTGATGGGTGTATTAGGAGCAGCTCTGCTGTGGGGGAGGGGTGTGTGTGTGACATGACTGGGCCTCCAGGTTTGATCTTCCCTTTTTATAAGGAGTTGGTCCTGAGATTTTGTTTTCCTTATATATGTTATTTCTGGATATGTCTGCCCAGGCTTCTCTTGGGGAGACTGTGGAAAGGCCTAGTCCACTGGCCTGCTTAGGAACAGAACCTAGTTGAGATGGTTGTAGCTTTGAGCAGACCCAGGCCACCTCTGGAGCCAGCCCCTGTCCCTAATCCTGACTGAAGCAGGCATGAGCGGTGCTCTTTCACATAAGCCCAGCCAACTCCCACTTTTGCTGAGGTGTGAGGAGGAGGCCTGCCTGGCTTTTGGTTCAATTCATGCGATTTTATCTCCCAGCTGTGTGTGGCCAGGGAGAGTTGGCTTAGCCCAAGCATTTCCTAAATGTGTGGCTTGTCTGAATCTTCAGCACTGGCAGTTCCCCCTTTCTAGGCTTTGACTTCTCTCTTGAATCTCACATACACACCTGTTCCACATGGGCCACCAACTGGTCAGTGGTGTGATTGTGGTGGCAGCTTCTAAAAGCACTTTGTCTCCTAGGATCTACCACACTACAGAGCTCTTACTTTCCCTGCAGGGTCCCTCCCACCTCAGCCCCTGGAAACAGACTCTTCTATGGGAAAATGTGCTTGGTCTTTAGGGTTCTTGGAGATTTGGGGCCATTTCAGCCCCCTGTGAGCCAAAACAGTGCTCTTGTTTGTGTTTCCTACTGGAGTTTGCCTGTGGCCAACCTGGCTTTCAGCCAGTGCCCAAACTGACAGATGTTTCAGCAGTAACAGCTGCTCCCGCAGAAGGGTTTGGGCTTCTTTGGTGCCCTGGTGGGGAGGTGGGCATTCCCGGCCCATAGTGGTGGTTCAGGACTCAGTTGCAAGGGGCCCTGGACTCTCCCTTTGCCAGTAACTAAGGGATGGCTCTGTGAAGCCCAGGTCCAAGGAAGACTTGATTCCAGGGGGAATTCTTTCTTAAGGACATTAGATACCACCTTAAAATTTGGCTTCTGGCATGTTCTGCACTTGTTCCCCTTCTGTCACCTCACCCATGGTGTTGTGTAATTTCTTATAAGATCAGGAAATATCTCATTGGGCAATATTCAGAAACATTTCTCGAGTTGCTTTTGAGACCTAGAGTCAATATTTCACTGGATACAGAGAAATATTTAGAGTATGAATACCCTGGATGAGCCACCATGTGAAGCAGCCCTAGGACTTCTCTGACTTGAGAGGTGATGTTGAGCTTGTCCAAGATGAAGGCACGAGCATAGCAAAGCCTTTATGTGTGTAAGACCTGTGCAACCCCAGTCCCTAGCCGAGGAGCTCCCTGCCCAATGGGGGAGGCGTTCAGGTGGGCAGGGGAGGGAAGATCACAGGCTGTTGGTGCCAGCAACAGGAAGCTGGTATGCAGAGGTGCACAGTGGCTGATGTGGTGTCTGGTCCTCCTCACCTTCAGGCTCAAGCTGCTCCAGGAAATGAGGCTTCCCTTTGCTTTACTTCTTGCCGTTGGGCTCACACTGGGGAGAACCAATATCACAGATGTTGGTCGAGAATGTAAGTATCATTTCCTCTCACTGTCTTGAAGGGGATCTTGACCAGAGTTGATGGTGGTCTTTGGAAGGGTTGACTAGAATGTGGAGCATCTCAGCTACCTGGGGTTGGTGTTGTCAGTGTAATTATGAGTGGGAACTAGTCAATTTTGGGAGAGCATGAGCCAGGAGGCAAGGCTAAGAGGCAGGAGGATTTCCCAGATGAACAACTCCCTGACCAGGAGACCTGAGGGAGCATCTTGATATGGCACTTGCCCATCAGGCCAGGCAGGAGTGGCCAGGGAAATCCAAGAGCATGAAGGCCTGCCTTGGTGAGGCAGACCTGCTATGCAGAGCAGAGCCATCCCTCAGCTGGCCTCTGGGGTGTCCCCTCATCCTGTCTCTGAAAACAGGAAGAGCTCCTGTGGACACCTGCTTCTCTCACCAGAGCTGGTCTTATCCAGACTCAGATTTCACAAAGAGCTGAGTTGTGATGCTTAGGGAAGTCCCTGGAGGTAGAGGGCAGGGGCTGCCCATTGGAGGGGGGTGGACCTGGCTGATCATGTTGGGAACCAAAGCTTGATGTCTGCTTTCTCCTCTCTAAGGGACCTTTAATGTGAAATGCGAAGATTGTGTAGTTATGAATGACTTCAGCTGTGCTCAAGTTACGGAATGTCCCTATCACATCAGGCGCTGTCTGATAATCTCCATTCGTAAGTACCTCTGTTATTTTGGCATGTTTTGGATTGGTGTTTTGGGGGCAGGGCTAGTTCGCTTCTCTTTGCACTAGCCCTGTTACCTTTCCCTGGCATGTATCTGCCCCAAGAGTGAGCCACAGGCACAGGGCTCAGCCTCCTATGAGGCTGCACTCATTGTCCTGTGGAGTCAGGTATTCTGCACAGTGGAACAGTCAGACCATACATCTGTGATGTCTTAAGGGTATGAGCATCGCTGGACTTTGAGGCCTCTGCCTCTTGTCTGTCCCAGATTATGTGTATAGACACCCAGTACAGGATAGTGACTCTTCTGTGCTGGCCATCAGCTTGTCCTTACTCTCACTCTCCTTCATGCCCATCCATCTTTCCCATTTGTAGGCCTTGTGACCAGCAGCAGTTCCTAAGACCCCAGCAGATGTTCTGCCACCAGACCACAGAAATGACAGGTGCCCCAATGGGGCAGTTTAAATATGTCTTCAGGAGACCCATTTGTACCCCCCTACTGGGAGGGCAAAGGTGCTTGGCTTTTGAATAGCTTTTGGTATTTTCCTGCAAACTTTGACTTTTCTGCCCCACCTCAGTCCTTGCTCTGGACTATTCCTCTTCAGACGCCCAACTCACATCTGTTTCATGGCTTCCATGGGCATGAAAACTATAACATATGTACTTCATAACTTGTACCTGTCATACTTTAGAGGGTGTTTTTCTCCTTGGACCCTGATGGATACTAGGACAAGAATTTACAAGAGCTTTTGGCAGAGATTTGGGAATGCTAAAATACTTGGACATTTTCCCCTTCCAGATACTTGCTGATTTGGGGGACTGTGAAAGATGGTAAGCAAAAGGCTTCTGTGAAAACATTCTGAATGTCAGAGACTAAGAGCTTCCCTCCACAGCTGGCATCAGTGAGATGTTGGAGGAGGAGCACACAGACCTATGGGGCACAGGGAGAATCCAAACACAGGGCACATGGATATGCCCATCTGACTTTTTTTTTTTTTTTTTTTGAGACCAAGTCTTGCTCTTTTGTCCCTGCTAGAGCACAGTAGCATCATCACAGCTCACAGCAACCTTAAGCAATCCTACTGACTCAGCCTCCTGAGTAGTTGGGACTGCAGGTGTGCTCCACCATGATTGGCTCATTTTTTCCCCTATTTTTAATAGAGACGGAGGGTTGTTTTTCAGACTGATTTCGAACTCCTGAGCTCAAGGAATCCACCTGCCTCAGCCTCCCAGGGTGTTAGGGTTACAGGTGTGAGCACTGTGTCTGGCCTCAGTTGACTTTTGACAAAGGTACAAAACCATCAGTGAATCGTTCATGGTGGAAATGAACCTGCACATCAAACCTTATATAAATATTAACTCAAAGTGGATCATGGGCTTAAATGTGTAAGGTCAAACTCTAGAATTTTTAGGAAAAAAATACACATAAGAGAAAATTTTCAGCATCTAGGGTGAAACAGAACATCTTGGACTTGGCCCCAGAGTATGAACTGTAAGAGTCATCTAATGATATGGCTGTCGGCCAACTGAAAGCCTTTGTTCTTTGAATGAGCATGTTAAGAGAATGAAAAGACAAAATATAGACTATAAGAAAATATCTGTAAATCACACATTAAACAGAGAACAAGTATCTTGAATTTATGAAGAAATCTTAAAAGTTCAACAGTCAAAATCTACCCAGTCTCATTAGAAAATCAGCAAAAAGATATTTCACTAACATGGATTCACAGATAGCAAACAAGCACATGAATAAAGTCTAAACATCATTAGCCATTAGGGAAGAACAAATTAAAACCTCAGATAGCACTAATCAGAATGGCCAGAATAGAAAATAGTGACAACAAAAAATGTGTGAAGATGCAAAGAAACCACATTGTTCATAGGCTGCTGAAGGGCAGGACCTGCAAAATGACACAGCCACGTAGCAAACAGTGCGGCAGTTTCTTTCTTTTTTTTTTTTTTTTAAGTCATTTGTACATAGATCATGAATACATTTACGCCATTATGGGATTCAGTGTGTTGATTATTTATACAAATTGGAGTGTTTACATCTTACTAATCAACATAGCCTTCACCTCATTTACCCAATTATAGTGTTAAGACATTTGTGTTCTACACCTGATAGATCCAACTTGTACTTGCAATATGCTTCATAAGTGTGGTCCTCGTATTAACCCTCCCTCTATTGACCTACCCCCACTTCCCTCCTTCATCCTAGGCTATAGTTGTGATTCATCTTTCATATGAAAGTGTGAGTGATTATAAATTGGTTTCATAGTAGTACTGAGTACATTGGATTTTTTTTTCCATTCCTGAGATACTTTACTAAGAATATTTTCCAGCTCCATCCATGTAAACATAAAAGAGGTAAAGTCTCCATTTTTTAATGCTGCATAGTATTCCATGGTATACATATACCATAATTTATTAATGCATTCATGGGTCAATGGGCACTTGGGTTTCTTCCATGACTTGGCAATTATGAATTGAGCTGCAGTGAACAATCTGGTGCAAATATCTTTGTTGCCAAATGATTTTTGATCTTTTGGATATACACCTAGTAGAGGAATTGCAAGATCAAATGACAGGTCTACATTTAGATCCCTGAGTATTCTCCAAACTTCCTTTCAAAAGGAATGTAGTAGCTTGTATTCCCACCAGCAGTGCAGAAGTGTTCCCTTTTCTCCACATCCACACCAACAACTGTAGTTTGGGGACTTTGTGATGTGGGCTACTCTTACTGGAGTTAGATGGTATCTCATAGTGGTTTTTGTTTGCATTTCTCTGATGATTAAAGATGATGAGCATTTTTTTCATGTGTCTGTAGACCATGCACCTGTTTTCTTCAGAGAAGCTTCTGTTCATATCTCTTGCCTACAATGAAATGGGATCGCTTGTTCTTTTCTTAATACGTTTGAGTTCTCTGTGGATTCTGGTTATTAGACCTTTGTTGGAGATAAAACTTGCAAAAATCCTCTCCCATTCTGAGGGCTGTTTATTTGCTTTACTTAGTGTGTTCTGGGCAATGTAGAAGGTTTTTAATTTGATCAGATCCCAGTAATGCATTTTTGATGTTGCTTCAATTGCCCAGGAGTATCTTCCTCATAAAGTATTCTCCCAGGCCAGTTTTTTCAAGTGTTTCCCCTGCACTCTCTCCAAGAATTTTTATAATTTCATGTCTTAAGTTTAAGTCCTTTAACCAATGAGAGTCAATTTTTGTTAGAGGAGAAAGGTGTGGGTCCAGTTTCAGTCTTCTACAGGTCGCCAGCCAATTCACCCAGCACCATTTCTTAAATAGGGATCTTCCTCCAATTTATATTTTTGATAGGCTTATCAATCAAATGATGGTAAGTGTCTGGATTCACCTATTGGTCTTCATTCTGTTCCAAAGATCTACTTCTCTATTTTTGTGCCAGTACCATGCTGTTTTGATCACTATTGATTTGTAGTATTGTCTGAAGTTTGAAAGTGTGATTCCTCCCAATTTGTTTTTATTTCTGAGTTATGTCTTGGCTATTTGAGGTTTTTTTCTGTTTCCATATAAAACAAAGTACTAATATTTCCTGGTCTTTAAAGTATGACAGACGTGCTTTAATAGGGATCGCATTAAATCTGTAGATTGCTTTAGGTAGTATAAACATTTTAATAATATTGATTCTTCCCAGCCATGAGAATGGTATATTTTTCCATTTGCTAATATCTTCAGCTGTTTCTTTTCTCAGAGTTTCATAGTTCTCTTTATAGAGATCTTTCATGTCTTTAGTTAGATACACCCCAGATATTTCATCTTCTTTGGCACTATTGTAAAGGAAATAGAGTCCTTGGTTGTTTTTTCCCCTTGACTATTGTTGGTATATATAAAGGCTACAGATTTGTGAGTGTTAATTTTGTAACCTGAGACATTGCTGTATTCCTTGATCACTTCTAGGAGTTTTGTAGTTGAGTCCCTGGGGTTTTCCAGATATACAATCACATCATCTGCGAAGAGTGACAGTTTGATCTCCTCTGGTCCTATTTGGATCCCCTTGATTGCCTTCTCTTGCCTGACTGTGATGGCTAAGACTTCCATTACAATATTAAAAAGCAATGGAGACAAAGGGCATCCTTGCCTGGTTCCTGATCTGAGTGGAAATGATTTCAGTTTAACTCCATTCAGTACGATATTGGCTGTGGATTTGCTGTAGATGGCCTCTATTGGTTTAAGAAATGTTCCTTCTATACCTATTTTCTTAAGCATTATGATCAAGTAAGGATGCTGATATTATCAAAAGCTTGTTCTGCATCAATTGAGAAAATCATATGGTCTTTGTTTTTTAATTTGTTTATGTGATGTATTATATTTATGGAATTACATATGTTGAACCATCCTTGGAAACCTGGGATGAAACCCACCTGGTCGTGATGTATAATTTGTTTGATGTGTTGTTGGATTCTGTTTGATAGGATTTTATTGAATAGTTTTGCATCAATAATCATTAGAGATATTGGTCTATAATTTTCTTCTCTTGTTGGGTCTCTTCCTGGTTTGGGAATCAGGGTGATATTGCTCCATAGAATGTGTTGGGTAGTATTCCTTCTTTTTCTATGTTTTGGAAAAGGTTAAGTAATATAGGTACTAGTACCTCTTTAAAGGTTTGGTAGAATTCTGATGTGAAGCCATCTGGTCCCGGGCTTTTCTTTGGGGGGAGATTTCTTATAGCTGATGCTATTTCAGAACTTGATATAGGCCTGTTCAACATTTCCACTTCTTTCTCTCTAAGTCTAGGAAGGTGGCATGTTTCCAAGTATTGATCTATTTCCTTTAGATTTTCATACTTCTGAGAATAGAATTTTATGTAATATTCATTAAGGATTTGTTGAATTTCTGAGGAGTCTGTTGTTATTTGGCCTTTATCATTTCTGATTCATGAAATTAGGGATTTTACTCTTCTGCTTCTGGTTAGGTTAGCCAAAGGTTTATCTATTTTATTGACCCTTTCAAAAACCCAACTTTT